CTGTGTATGTAATCTGTCGGTTGTTTCTCCCATCCATCAATGCGCTTATAAAATGTGATTGATTTAAACCGGACCAACTGGACCAGTCTACCTAAACCTAGAAGGATGTAGATATGTGATGGTGCATTCCGAAAAACATAGGAACACCGCCGCTATGCAAGTGAGAAAGCAAAAGTTAATGTAATAAAAAAGAATACCACCCATTCTTCGGGATGGAATGAAATCAGCTGTAGTGTCGTGTTGGTACACTCGCTCGTATCCTCCTGAAACGGGATGGGTATCGTAAGGTATGTGTTGATTGGGTTGGGACCTCTCATTCCCATTCAATCATGATCAGAGCTGGTATGTCGAGTGGATGATGATGCGATTGTCGTATACATCCTCGGGAAACATTTAACCCGTGGCAGTTCCAAACCACACATATATGTGTTCATGTGAGGACATTCCGTAATATCAAAACACGTCGTCTACAGCAATACGCGCCGTGGTGCGATTCGCCGCCGCCGTCTCCGCCGCAGCCACGGTGCCGGGACCTCTGGGCGCGTCTCTCTTCTCGTCTACGACGTTGACGCCGAGACCGGCGAAGGCGTCGAACATGGCGCGCGCCACGAACTCCTGGAAGCTGTACCCGGGGACGCGGTGCTGGTCGTCCGTCTTGGCGCGGTCGAGGTGCGGGTTCGGGTACGCGGCCGCGTCGTGCAGCTCGTAGCGCGTCGGCTCGAGCGCCGGGCCGAGGCCGGCGAAGGGGTCGTACGGCTTGCTCAGGTCCTCGTCCTCGTCGTTCGTCTTCTTCTTCAACCCGCGGATGGATAAGGGGGCGGCGACGCCGTTGTTGTTGTTGTGGTTATTCGCCTCTTGTAAATCTGGGAATAAATGTGTGCCACTAGTACTGCTGCCACCGCCGAGGGCGGCGATGCGCGCGCGCATCTTGGCCACGACGCGCGCCTGGATCTCGGCGGCCGACCCGGGCTCGCCGCGCGCGAGGGCGGACATGACTTCGGCGTTGATCTTGGCCTCTTCCTCCCGTATGCGGGCCTCCTCCTGTTCGTCGGCCAACCTGCGCTGGCGCGCCGCCTCCTGCTCGGCGGCCTGGCGCTTCTGTCTCGAGACCTCGGCCTCGCGGCCGCGGCGCTTGTTGCGCTCGATCTCGTCGCGGAACTCCTGCTCGCGGCGGAGCAGCTTCTGCTCGGCGGCGGCGCGCTCCTGCTCGCCGCCCGAGACGAGGTCGAAGGCGAGGTCCTCGACGTCCTGCAGGTAGTTGTTGTAGTCGCGCAGGGTCTCGAAGTCCTCCTCGACGTTGTTGAAGGCGGCGGCGACGCGGCGGCGGATGTCGACCTCGCGCTCGACGGCCAGGTCGCCGAAGAAGGCGGACCGGAACCCCCTCTGGCGCAGGGTCTTGGTGCAGCTCGCGTACGGACACTGCGCCGGCCCGGACTTGAAGATGTTCTCGACGCAGTTGCTGCACATCGGGTGGTAGCACTCCGGGTTGATCAGGAACTGCATGTCCGTGTTGAGGTACCGCATGCGCTTGCACACGGGGCAGAAGTCGCTCGGGAGGAGGGTCGTGTTCCCCGTGATGACCTTGCCCACGGCCGAGCCGGTCGTTATCGGTTTGCGAGACATAGCGGGCGGTTGGGTATTTTCGAGGTTCTGCTGCTGTCTTTCGCTATTCGCGGGTCTCTGTACGTAGGGAGAAGGGTAGTGGATTGATGTTGGCAAGTCAAGTCGGTGATGGCTCTTGCTCGATGGAAATTGGAATATTACGAAGGAGGTTGTGAATTGAGAAGAGAAGGAAGCAGCCCGGGAAATAGAGGGTGAGCTACCTGTCCCTTCTAGTCAAGGCAATAAATGCGGTTTGGTAGCCTACCGCTGGTTACAATAATGCCCGTGAACAAGTTGGGATAGTGATTGACTCTGAAGGGCATTGCGTTGAGGTAATGACGGTTGATGTTTGTATTGATTATGATTGGCTGAAAGTCAGTTCATTGCAGTCATAATTTAGGTGCTACCAGGTAGCAGTAATGCGCTGCTGATTAAGGTTACCGTATAACCTAGGTTAATAAGCATCCTTGATGAGCAGGAACTGATTTCGCATGTTCAACTTCTGAAATAATGCGTGAGACCATTTGACAACAGCACTCTCAGTGTATTAACCTCAGACAATTCTTGTTGAGTTTTCTTCACAAATTTGGGGTGCGAATGCTGCAGGGTTTCGTAGTTTGGCCAAACATCGCTCGCAGAGAGGTGGTATCCCGACCAAGCTCAGCCTAAGACACTGTTATTACGTTCGTTTGCATTATCAAGGTACACTCGAGTCCTAGACCACGATGCTCTGGGTAATAAACACAGAGGAGAACCATCAAATGCTGCTGTTTTCTTCTGAATGATAGGTGCTCTGCCTGCGCTGACATGCATGTCATCGCACCAATCGGGCACGTAATTGCAGAGGTTTGGATTAGCAATAATATGAGATGTGAGAATAGACAAGCCAGCCCTTCGGCGTTCTCATTAACCACAATTCACTTTATTCCACCACTGCCTGAACTATCTAGAGTTTAGAAACATCACATGTATATCAGATAAACCATGGCGTCTGCATCAGACACAACATCCTTCCTCACCATCCCCGATGCCGACGTGACCTGGATCTCGCCCCGGCCAAAGTTGCCTCTCGCAATAGTCGACTACAACCCCGCATGGCCGTCCCTGTATCAGGCCATCGAATCGCTCATCCGCGCCTCCCTGTCCTCCGAAACCATCCTCCACATCCAGCACGTCGGATCAACGAGCGTGCCCGGCCTGCCCGCCAAGGACATAATCGACATCGACCTCGTCGTCGCCGATCCCTCGCGGGAGGAGACTTACGTGCAAGCGCTGGAAAACGCGGGGTTTCGATTCATCCTGCGCGAGCCGAAGTGGTACGAACACCGCCTCTTCCACCTCGACGGCGCCCCGCACCACGCCAACCTCCACGTCTTCGGCCCCAGCAGCCCCGAGGTCGTCCGCCACCGCCTGTTCCGCGACTGGCTGCGCGAGCACCCGGAGGATTGCGCCCGGTACGTGGACGCCAAGAGGGGCGCGGCCGAGCAGACGGTTGCCGAGGGGGGAAACATGCAGCAGTATACCGATCGGAAGGACCCTGTTGTGAGGGATATCTTAAACCGCATTTTCAAAGCTGAAGGGCTTCTTCCGGATGAGTAGTAGATTGGTTTGGGATTTGCATTGTTGAAATAAATTCATAAATTGTCGTTTGGCCGAGGTCACGATAAGGGGTATATTACTAGTAGCATATAGCGCGTACACGAAGCCCATGATATCTTAATTATCGAGGCAGGAAAACGGGTTGTTTAACACGGACAGAAGAAAAAAAAACACAATATAGTTACAGATATCTACACTGACATGTACAGGAAGAGATACAAGTCCGACGATTTGAGTCAAGTCACCCAAGAAAACCAACGCCCATGTAGTCTAGTCTCCGCTATTATGATCACCAAAAAAACCAGTCAGAAGAAATGCATAACAGCAGATAGGTAATACAACGTTTTCCCCAAATACACCCCCATATTATCTAACCTACAGACAGCTCAACATCTCCATTTTCCCCTTTCCAATAATACCAAGCTCCGAACATACGCACATTCCCAACACCCAAAAAAAGTCGTCACACCTTCACAACTTCGACCCCCTCCCCTTTCCCTTTCCCCTAACCCTAACGTCCTCTCTCTCCCCTTTCCCCGCGCCCTTCTCCCTCTCGACAGGGACGCCCTCGCTCGTCTCCGCCTTGAGACTCGTCGGATCGCCGAGCTGCGTGGGATTCTTCTTGAGCGCCTTCTCCCTCAACGTCTCCCCGCCCCCACTTGCACTCCCATCATCTTCATGGCCTTGTTCCCGAGAGCTCGAAGAAGAAGAAAAAGTTGTTGTTGATGATGATGAAGATGATGGTTGGGTTCGAGTATCCGGGACCGCACCCCCTTCCTCCGGGACTGCCGTAACCGTATCGCTCGTCTCCGCCTTCAGACTCACGGGATCGCCCAGCTGGCTCGGGTTCGCGTCCAGCTTCTTGGTCGCTTTCTCGCGGAGCGTTTCCTTTGGCATCTTTATTTATTTCTTTTCTGTAATGCCTGTTTCCGTATGTCTCGTCTGGATAAAGAACGGGGTTGTGTTTGGTGATCAATATAATAGGTAAGTACTTAAAGTTTTGCCTGGAGAGGCGAGGAGCAGTCTTATATCTTCTTCTTTGAATTCATTCCTGGAGAAAAATTATACTCCATATGGAAAAATATTTAAGATCGAGATTCTATAAGCCCTTAACCCGGTGTTTTGTTTTGTTTTGTTTTATAGATGGTGTCGTTGAACTCAAGAATAGATTCATCCCGCATGTCCAGTATTTATCTTCAAACCAGCCAAGCATACAAAACAAAATCGCCTACAATTAATTAAACGTAGATTATCCCAAAAGAATATTCACATCCCTTTCCATGACCTCACCTCCTCTCTGTCTTTGCGTCAAACTTACTTTCACCCCGGCTCGGTAGCGTCAAGCCGACTTAATGACCTCATTCACGAAAAGGAGGTCTCAGATAAATTTAGTGGACGTAACCCCACTAAAGTCGTGGAAATAGTGGACTGAAAAGCCGCTGGAGAAAGTGGTCGATGGTGAGGAGCACACCACAAACCTTCTGATCGCGGGGGTTACAGTATTCGCTTTGAAGGCATCACCATCACCAGATCTTGGATATTCCGACTTCTCTACCTAAGTAAGTTTGAGGTTAAAGCAACACCATTTCAGTTAGTTTTCAATGCCCGGGTTGACATTGATGCTATGGCCAAATCATACATAGGAAGCCAAAAAGTTAGCACATGTCAGTTGATAACAACAGAAACAAAACACATAAAAGCAAAACACCATAAAATATAAAAAGTGGAAGAAAAATGAAATGGGCATTACGTTCATGATATCTACATCTTTTCGACATATGTACATAGTCTTGCTGATGGATGACCGTCGGGACTCGAACCCGAGTCTGCAATAATAGCTATTGCCGCTTGACCACTAAGCTACAGTCGTAACCAGCCCCTTTCCTTAAACTCATCCTCGCCTTGGAGCGCGAAGCCTCCGTTGAAGGCTTCTGAATACGTCCGATTTCAGGACTCCGACGACGGCCTCGTACCAAACCCGGGCTGTTTTCCCGAACTCTTTGCTCTAATGGGGTATATTTAGCTGGTGATCGTGGTAGCGTTACCACCACCGAATGTGTTGGTGCTTCTTCAATTGATGAATGAACCTCTCTGTTAATTTCATGAGGTGTTGGAGTTGGTGCATCCTGTGGGGGCTCCTCCTGGCAAGGAGACAAGGATGCGGTGTATGCGGTGTGCTTGCCGATATCGTGACCATCGTCGTCGTGTCGCTTCTTTTCAAAGACGAAGTCTGACGGATGCATGTCAAAAGTCTCAGAAAGCGGCGTCGTTGGTGTATCTGGTTCATCCCATTGGGATGTTTCGTCATCATAACCCTGTGTCAGAGTAGTCGACAGAGCCATGGTGTCTGTCTCCGGTTCTGAGAAGGATAGCGTCCTGGATGGGGTGGAAGCTTTGGATGAGTCCGAGCACATGGTGAGGGATCGAGGAGAGGGAGGGAAGTGACTCGTCGGAATCATGTTCATAGGAGAGCCGCTGATGAAAGACAGGGGCTCATGGGTCATGATGGGTTCATGGTCGTCAAGCCCATCGAAGAACGGCTTGCTGCCGTGATCGTTTGAAGCGGGATTCCACTCATGGTCCTCGGGGAGATAGGAAGAAAAGTATCTGACGAGAGAGTCAAATGACTTGGTACGGAAGAGCTGTATCGCATGCTGCCACTGGTCCGTGCCTATGAGATCGGGGTTGGCGATAATCTCAACCGACGCCGACTGGAGACTTTCGTTCAGTTGCTCTAACCGAAGCTGCTTCCGCTCTTCGAGCAGGCGATGGAACTCGGTCAAGTCGGCGGCCGTCTTGGAGATCTCGCAAACGTCATGGTGGAAGGCGTCAGGGTCTTGGATAGACAAGGTGACGGTGTTGTACTGATCTTGGAGTTTGGTGTAGAGGTCCTCCCTCTTCATCCCAAATTTCCATGCTTGCCAAAAACAACCGCCATCAGGCTCGTCCATTCTCTTTCTGCAGAGGCCGACCGTTGACAGGAGCTCCGGATCCAGGGGTGCGAGGTAGCTCGACGCTTCGAGGGCGAAGGAAGGTCGAGACCGACAGCTCGTTCGCGTAGAAGGGCGTCGGTCTTGAACTTCCGTCCAAGTGCTAAACTGGCTGCTTCCTGGGGGTTTTTACTGCTTAAAGGTCCGGTGACGAAAAGAGAGGTAGGTAAGTAATTTACAAGGGCGAGTGTGTGATAGTACAGTGCGTTCGAGCCTGCTGCTCTATGTATCTTTTGGGCTTCGTTCTGAGATTTTGGGTCTTGTGATCCGTGTTGGGCCAATTCAACAACCCGTACTGACGTCCATGTTTTCTATTCTTTTTGATTGTATTATAAGAGAAGTCATGGAAATAGTGTGCTTTGGAATGTTAGGCAATATTTGTCGCAATGTTTTCAGTGCATTGATGGTCAAACGAGTTGTGTGCAAACTCTGGGGACAATATGGTTCATTGATGGCTCATTTTGACAACATCAGAGGAGATGCAAAGGTGCTTTGACTTCATGTTGATGGTTTGGAGGTGGGCAGTCGCCGGTACCCATACATTCACCCATGTTGGCCTTTGGGGGCCAAAAGGGCCGTAAGGAAGGCGCGACTTCCGGGTGTGTTTCAATTGTCTCCATCACCAGGGATGGTTGCTTTGTCCTATGTCCTCCAATACTAACCTGCTTTGGATATACCGCAACGTGAAATCCTCTGATGTTAAACCCGGCCCCACTCAGATTATCCTAATCAAGCATAGAGTAGCAATGAATCCCGCTAATTTACATCAGAATGGCTGAAGCAGCATTGCCACCGGATCCTTCCTTTTGCGGAAGACCCTTGCTGCACGCACCCAATGAAATCTACCAGAACTGAGACCATGGTGATACTAGTGGGGGCGAGTACGGGTCCGTCAAAATCTGGAACGCTCTTGACCAATGAATGGAAGACAGTGCTGCAACCATTTCTTGGTAGGACTCCACAGCTTTCCGTCCCTGCCAACAGTTTGTTTCCATTGATATCATCACGAGCCCATCTTATTACACATCCCACAGCACCAACACATTTTGCATAACAAGCCGGATAAGCTCATCGGGCTGAAGAAGCCTCGCACCTTCACGACAAGATACCCAACCTACTGAATGCCCCATTGCTAAACAAGTAGTAGGTATTAGGCGCACATTTCATCACCTCTTGCCTGCTGTTTCAATCGAACCTTTGCAGGCAAGGAAGGAGCTTTGGTGGTTACTTTATGGCTGGCCAGATATTGCTCAGCTCGATTTGGGGAGGGAAAATGGCAGCGAAAGGCGCCACCCACAACTTGCAGCAAGTGCTTACACCTGGCTGACACAGAGAAACTCAGTCAGCTGGCACAACTTACGATGAGCCGAAGCCATCAAATCCAGCACACGGTGTTCGCTGCATCTTTCAATAAAGAAGATATCGATCTCGACTTGAAGCTCGGAAAGTATATCAATAATTGAACACACGTACAGACGATGTAGATTGCAAGCAAGCTTGAACAGGCGGCGTAAAGTGAAGCCAAGTTCAGGAGACAAGATGCTGAATCCTACACAAGCGCTTCCGACCGTGGCGTTTGCCTGGGGCCCGCTTCCGCTGTTCACCTGCTCTCTCCTGCAGTCCTGTGCTGATGTCACGCTAACATGCACAGCCGGGCAAAGCCAGGCCTGCCAGGTCTGGTTGGCAGTCGTCTGTCTGCCTAGATTCCGTCTCGTGACAACCTGACGTGGACTCGACACTCGAAATAGCATTCTATGCGAGACTCGTTGAGTCTGACGGCGCTCATGTTATTGGAAGTCTACAAGTGCACTTTCCACGGGGGAGTTTCCAGACAAGACTCTCACCACGACGCATCAGACAGCTGACACGGCCAGTCAGTTCCCTCGAGTATTTCAATTTCCCTCGTTTCAGTTCTCTCAGTTGTGTTCAGTTTATCTACTAGTAGTCTAAATACCTGCCTACTGGCGTACAGTAGCGCTGCATGCTTGGTACAGCGCCCAGTCCTTATGAGGCAACCCAGACGAAGTTCTCAGGTGACTAATACCATACCCTGCTCCGTACTGAGTGGAACCCCCGTTTCCAATATGTACCATTCACTGCCCTCCTCGCTCGTGGAAACTTGAAAGATACTGGGGAACAAGCTAGGCAGTCGACCGCAGCGAAACCCATCTCCAGCGGGATCAGCCGCACAGCCTACGTTCCACGCCCTTCCCTACTCTTGCTCTTCTGATCGTTGCGACTCTCCTGCTAGACTTTGTTGTACCTAGATAGGAGGCCGACCACTCAGACGTAGTGTCTCGAGGACATCTCATCTGACTTGCGTGATGATATTGTCGACTCGGGCAACTTCGACTTGATATCCTTCAAACCCACGAGCTGAGGAAGAGGTTGTGATTCCTGCCAGCCCCTCTCCAATCAATTCCACTTGCCTGTATTTCCTGCCTTTTGCTTGTACCAGTTCTCTAATCTCACTCTCCAAATCTTGTCGAGCTGCATCGGAAAGCAACGGTTTTGCCAAAGCATTGTCACATTTTCATACTTTTGTTAGCGCCAACATATATGCAAAGCAATTGTCTCCCATAGCCTTGCCGGTGCTCTATTTTCTCCTTTTTTCCCGTCATGGCGGCTGAGATTTACCCTTCTGAAGAGAAGACGGAGCCCTTCACTCCTGAGGAGCTCCACTTGCGTTTAGGCAGAAGCATCGAGGTGGACGAACTGGACGAGGACCAAGATGACACCATTCCCTTGGATAGGCTCGTGGTCGAAGAGCACCACCATAGACAAGGCCTCCGTATCCTTGTACGGCCGCTGACAAGAAGCCGTTCCGTGAGTCCCGGTAACGGCAATTGCCAGTGGCTTGCCTTACGAGCCGAACTTGGGGACCCTGCACAGCCCAAGTCCAGGGTCCTAGCTGTGACGCAGACCTCGAAGGATATCAACTTCTCCATCAGAATACCGCATGGAGAGGAGGAAGGCCACGGGCCCCTGTGGTGCGAGCTCTACTACGATCCTGCTAGTGACAGTTTGATTTTATGGAATAGGTCAGAGACCCCAATTGTGCTCACCCGGCTGTCGTCCTCCGACCAGGTTGATGCCAATTTCAACCAGGAGATAATACCGGGCACGACCCGGGATCTGTCGCCCGGTACTTGGAGAATCACCGCAGGCGTTCCAATGCTGGACTTCCGAATCTTGGAGAAGCGGCCGGCCACTCTTCACATCCCGTCGGACAGTTTCGACTCGTCGCTGGCTCGTAGCCAAGATGTTGCAACTTCTCTAGGCAAGCGCTCGTTTTCTAACGAGATCGCGGCAGAGGACGCTGTTACTGGAAAGAGAGTTCGCTCCGACGAGGCTGCGGAGAAGAGGGAAGATGGAGTCATCATCTTCGTAGGTCCGAGGGAAGAACAGCCTGTCGTGTTGCCTTTCCCGGCGAAGACGAAGGAGATCGCCATACCAAACGGCCATGCACTTTTGGAGGTAGAGAAGGACCAAACGGTTCAAGTCCCCGGCGGTTGGGAGCTTGATGGGTATCAGCTGACAAAGCGCGACCACATCGCTGCCACGGGGGCCTCTTCCGTGTTCACTGCCGAGCATTCTCATGTCCCTGACGGCGTCATCACAGTCAAAGTCCTCAAGACCAGGCCCGCTCAAGTCGACTCCCGTCCGCAAGAAGTCATCCACCGCAACGTCATACGGCAAGCTGACGTCTGGCTGCGCGAGTACCAAAGCCAGGAAGATCTCGAACACGAATCGATCGTCAAGCTCTACGGCGGAGACGCGCGCTACTTGTCCCTATACATGGAGCACGTCGACGGCAAGGACCTCGCTGCTCGTAACGTATGGCGCGACCCCGCGACGGACATGTTCCGTGGGACTCGCA